TACACTAAGTGTCAAATCTCTAGATAGCACGATAAAGAGTAGAAGAAGGGAGAAATTCCTATCATCGCATAGTCTCTAAGTAATGATTATGGCGCGCTTCACAACCGTAAGCTAGAAACTACGTAACGTGGTTATGTTGAGATTTAGATCCATTCAACCTCATGCTCTGATACCAAGTTTGTCATGACTCAGATTCTGGAATCCATCGCAATCAGCGTCGTTGACCTCTCAGATGTCACAGAGAAGTCTCATCTTGCATTCATCATATTCATCTAGTTAAATTTGCAAAAAATTTAAAACTTTTTATATGTATGAAGTATACATATAATTATTAACTTTATACATCATATACTAAGACCAATATAAGAGAAAAACCATTTAACATAAAGAATCAATTTGAAACTGAAGATGAATATATCATAAATAGTTCACCAAACACGACCTTATTACAAAGCTTCGAAATGAAGGTGCGAAAGAAACGCTAGGGACAACATCCACTAGATATGTCTAAATATAAGGCTAGACTAAATATGTAGCATCCTCAAAATCATGAGGACCTACCAAATGGTTTGGAGAAATGTTGAAGTCCAAACCGCTGCAAGTGTCGTCAACCTGTCCTCTAACCTGCACCTATAAATATAGTAAATAGTAGGGGGCTAGTATACCACTTGTACAGTGTATGGGTTCATGCACACATCCACATAAAGCTATGCATGATCAATGAAAGCTCTTCCTAAGCAACATGTCATTTCTGGAAAGTCTTTTCATTAGGCTTTCCTAATTCGTTAGTGGTGAATTGTGGTATGAATATGATTTATTTTAATGCATTCAAAGCACAGAACTCATTTTTTATATAATTACAAAGTATTAGTATCATCAACATAATTTTAGAACAACTCGGGCAAAGATTTGAATTTTTTGTTTCTCTTAGGCCGAGAGATAATCTTTGTACACTTAGATCATTCTTTAGTCTTTTTATTCTCGTTGTTGTGTAGTTCAACAATCCTTTTGTCCTATGTTTTACTTACAAGTGCAATGATTCATTGTAGCCTCATACCCACAATGAAATGGAAGTAATCCAATGACTATGGAATGATTTCCCTACCTTATAGTGAGTCACTCTTTACACTATATATTCATTAACTTTCATAAGCAATTCTCTATTGATCATGCCATTGATTTATTACTTTCATATTTTATATATAATACATTTCATATACACGAGACTTTGGAATCATTGATTTAGCATAAGACATACCAAGCGAGGGCCCAACATATGGGACCTCAACCCGTGGGCCTTCTTTAGCAAACACAAAGTCTGCTTCATTTGTTCATTCGTACTTCACATTATTCATTTCATTTATTCGTAGGCTAATGTAAACACCAGCTATACCTAGGATGAATTTAAGACTCTCATCGGGATCATGAAGTGCAATGACCAACAATGACCTAATGTCGTTACTTGAATCCGATTTCACCTCCTAATTGTCTTGCACGAACACCTTCGGTATCGTTCATTTCATTATCTTTCATACCTTGAGGAAATCCAACCTCAACTGACTTAGATAATGATAGCATCATGAAATCCAGTGTCTACCCCACACGGAAAAGAGGTGGAATCACATGCCAAAGTGACCCAAAACATGCTAGCATACATGGGGATCGAAAACTGCCAGATCCCTATATAGGCAGTATAGGTTTGAAGACTAGGAGATATAAGGAGACTCATACTCGACATGCTGGATAGACTCATCTCATGAGAGTTACGTGAACCTCCGCCCTTCCCGAAAGAAGGCATCACCGCTCATAGCAAGCTTATCGTTGCTCAGTATAAAGTTCAATTTCATTCAACTCATACATCATGGAAGTTGGCTTCTAGTATGAGGACATCATATCTCAATAAATGATTTCTCATATCATTATTAGTATTAAGTATACATCAGTCTCAATACTTTCATTAGAGTGTACATAGAGACTGGTCTCTACAATACTTTACACTCTTATAGGTGAGTACGTTTTGGTAACATTTACTTACGCTCATTTGAGATTGATATCATCTTTCACAATAGACTCTTATCATGTTGCCACCACATTCATTAAAATTAGTACATGTGTTTTTCATAATTACTTACCCCTTTATGTGAATGTTCATTTCTACTTTATCTTCTAGTATTGACCCAACCATTATGGAGGCTCGCTTCTAGGTTGAGATTTACTTACTCTATTGATGACTGGTCATCCTTACTTTACATTGATGAAAATATGAATTTTCCTTACATATCATTCTTTTTGTTAATGATACTGGATCACACCTTCTAACACCTTCATACATGAGTATTCTTTTAACACAGTAGCTTTGGTGTAAGTGAGAATTATGTCACTTCCTTTAACACCACATTCTGGTCTCTTACTTACTTTAGACCCATTTAATTATGTTATAAATCACATTAGTTACTTACTTTAGTGTAGTATATTCATATCATCGTCTATGGATGATAAAAACTCATTCAATGAGTTTCATGAGTTCATATGTCATTCTTTTAGAGTATGTTGGGAGTTGTCCCAAAGAGTGGCATGCCCTTGATTATGGGTTCATTGAATTAGTTTAGAAGTGTTGAAATTATCATTTGATACTCTAACTATACAAGATTGGCATATGATTAGTATTGGTCGCAACCTATGAATATTAAACGACATAACCATTTTTGTTGGCATGTGTAAATTCTACGTATGTTCATATTTAAATTTAATATGTATGAACCATTATCCAATATTTTAATCATTTAACATAATATTATAGCCAATTTTATACATCACTTTTATACAATATATTGTTAGCCATTTTTTGGCATACAATTAGTATTGGCATAAACAATTGGGCATAGATTTCATAACCATATTTGTTGTCATAAGCCAATTTTCATGTGCAACATGCTTAAGTTTTTATACATGAGACATTAGCCAATATTTTACTTATTTAGAGATAACATTATATCAAATTCTCATTCATATTTTGAACAATGTTTTTGTTAGCCATTTTATTGACATAAGGCAAACATTCACTCAAATTATGATTTCACGGAGATCCTTTTTAGCTAACCGTATTACATAACTTTAGACATAACATTTTTTTAAACATCTTGGAAAGAATCATATTAGCATTTGATGAATATATCATATTTATAACGGCTTATTAACAACAAGTATGCACAACAGACCGTAACATCTTTATGCATAACATTTTCGGACATATCTTTAACATAGTATCATTCTTTTAATTCACATAATACCACTTAGCATCAAATGAATCCAATTAAAAGATTCATTCAACCATTATTAAATCAAATACACATTAAGATCAGTCAGCACCACATACCAAAAACATGATTTCTAACCTACTCAACATTGAATTCGTACCAAGGATACTAGGGAAAGGAGTTCGACAAGAATGATGAGAAACAACCCTAGTTTTCAAGATCTTTGAATCATTCAAAAGAAAGTTCTCTTGGAGAAGGAATTCCATGAGAGAAACCCATACCTTAATTAGAAATTAATCTACAAAGACCACCTTAAACAAACCTATAAGAAACCTTGAAAATTGTTTAAGAAATTTTCTATTTTTTTCTTGCGTTTTGTTCACTGTTTTTCTCATGCTTTTTTTCTTGTTTTAGTCGTGTATTTTTTTGATTTTGAACGTGGTTTTTAGGTTTTAATAACTGAACTTGACTTATTCAACTTCGGTTTTAATAAGTTAATTAAATTAATTAATTAACTAATTACTAAAAAAACTCCTAAGTTGACTAAACATAGGAGAATGTTGACTTGACCAAAAATCTTAAATTATGGTGTTGACTATAGTTTAGGTAAACATTTTAACTTTATATTAATTAATTAAATCCTTAATTTAATTAATTTAGGGACCTAGGGTAAGTACTAAAGAACCCCAAAGTCATTTGAACGATAATCAACCCTTTAGGACCATCCTAGATTAAGTACTAGGATGTTTCTTGCATTATACTAGGTTAACATAATAATTTCAGTTTGAACCTTTTAATTTAAATAATTAAATTAATTAAGTAACCTATGTTAATTACTTATTACCCTTAAGTCATTATAACCATAACTAATCCTTTGGACCATCCTAGGTTAAATACTAGGTTGTCTTTTTCTTGTCTCAACTGAACTCTTGAAACTTCTTTGTGATTTCGGTTTTGACCCTTTCAATTAATTAATTAAGATTCTAAATTAATTAATTAATTATCCTAGGGTACTTAATAAAGTATACCTAAGTTGGTAGGACCTTAACTAACTCTTTGGACCATCCTAGGTTGGGTACTGGTTATCCTTTATTGTCTTTACCAAAATCTGAAAAAATTTCTTTTGTAGTTTTGGTTTTAGACCTTTTAAATGCATTAATTAATTTTCTAAGTAAATTAATTAGGTAACCTAGGGGAATTACTAAAGTACCCCTAAGTTTTTAGGACCATAACTAACCTTTTGGACCATCGTAGGTTAGGTACTAGGTTGTCTCTTTAACTAGTACTAGGTTAGTGTCAACCCGATTTTGGTCCCAGGTTGTCGGGTGCAATAATGGATCCAATTCGTTTTAGTCCTAGGTTATTTAGATAGTTGGGGCAGTAGTTTGGAGTCTACAATTGGTTGGGAAGTTAGGCCCCACATGGAGTGTTCCCTTATGCACGTTTTTGTCCCCTTAACTACCCTAACCGAATTTGCTTAGGGTCAGTGTTGTGGACGGCGAGAGGCGACAAAAGGCGACAAGGGTCTGCCTCGCCACGCGGCGAGGCGCTTGCCTTTTTGAATAAAGGCGCCAATTAATACCAAAAATTAAAAATATTTAATTACATATTTTATCCAAAAAAAAATTTAGCAATAACACATATTAGCAAATATTTAATTCAAAAACCAATAGTAGTTACTAAAATGTCTAGAACTTTAAAGACCAAACAATTCAAAATACAATAAACCAAAACTTAGAAAGTCTATTCTTCTTTAAAATTATCCAACTCTTGAAGATCAAAATCCTCTACATCATTATATTGCTCTTCATCTTTTTCCTCCTCGTATTCTTCATCAATTAGTGTTTGAGTCCTACTTGAAGATGAACTTGTAGATATACTTTCTAATCCAATGCCCTTGTCAAGTACTGTTGATCTTGAAGAAAGTCCCCTAAGAAGATAGATACTCTCATCCGCTCCGATTGCCGTAGCAACACTACACCAAGTAAGATCATCATCCTCATATACTAGTTCATCATCTTGATCTTCGGGGCATCCAACTAACCATTCATTTGAATCATCTATGTTATCCAAGTGAATTGGATCAATAAGATCACGACCATCATAACGACGTTTCAATGTTCTATTGTACTTAATGTACACTAGATCATTGAGACGTGATAGTGTAATCCTATTCCTCTTTTTGGAATGAATCTCTGCATAAGTTATTGATATTAACTAGTTGATATTGATAATAATATAATATGAAAAATAGGATATAAATTTTTACTTACGTGTTCAAACACACTCCAATTTTGCTCACATCCAGATGAGCTACAAGTTAGGCTTAATACTTTCATGGCAAACTTTTGCAAGTTTGGTGTTTCACTACCAAATAGTGATCACCATTCAACTATAATAAAATAAATTTAAAGGTTAGTGACTATAAATTAGTCAAATAATTTAAGTAAGATCTAAATCAACCCACTTACCCGGTGACCTTGTGTCTCTAGCTCTTTTAGCCGGACAACAACCAAATAGTCCATCCGCCATTTTGTACTTAGGAAGCTCAGCGATTAGTTCATCTTGTATTGTTGTATCACAGACCAACTTCTCAACACATGCATAATACTCGGTCCACAAAGTCTGTGATAAAGCTACCTCTTCTTCAGCTTTATAAAATAATCCTGGGTTCAAAACATGGCCTGCAGCATGCAAAGGCCGATGGAGTTGTTCTGACCACCTTGTATCAATAATTTGAAACACTTTAGCATGATGCTTCTGAATTCCACAAAAACCATGTGCAATAGATTCTTTGGCTCTTTCCATTGCTTCATAAATATAACCCATTGATGGTTTTTTCTCACCATCCACCAAACGAAACACTTTTGTCAAAGGGCTACAAACTGTAAGTGCCCGAACAACATCATTCCAAAAGTGGATAGAAATAATAAGATTGGCAACTTCTCTCCCCAAAGTTTCCTTTGCAAATTTACTTGAATTCCATTCGGTTGAGAGGACTAAAGTTTTCAAGTTTTTCTTTGTATGTACATAGCTCTCAAAGTTTAGAAGGCCGTTGCAAATCTTGTCTTGGCCGGTTTCACCAAATTTCTTTCTTTGGTCAATTTTCTCATCAAGTTTAATAACAATGGACTTTGACTAATGTAAGAATGGATTCTGATGGCCTTCTTAAAAACTGTTACAGAAAGATTAAATTATATTAATTAGTAGCTAATGAATTAGTGGCTATAAATAAATTTAAAGGATAGGTTGATTATCGGAAGCATATGGGTTAACCTTGAATATGTCACCATATATCAAGTTGATGCAATGAGCGGCACATGGAGTCCAATAAATGTGTGGATACGCACCCATCATCATACTTCCCTCTTTGACATTCTCAATAGCATTATTGGTGACAATGTGTACCACATTTTCCGGTCCAATTCTTTCGATAGTGCTTTCAAATAACTTGTACATTTTGGTGGAATCGGTAGATTAATTTCTAGCATCAACAGAACCAAGAAATACACTACCGATTGGAGAATTCACCAAAATATTGATGATCATTTTTCCATTTCGTGCCGTCCATTTGTCCATCATAATGGAACATCTAAACTTTGTCCATTGCACTTTATGCTCCTCAACAATTTTTTCTACTGTATCCACCTCTTTTTTAAGGTGAGTGACTCTAACTTCATGAAATGTAGGAGGCTTCCTTCCAGGGCCATGTTGTCCAACCGCCTCAAACAATTTATCGAATGATTTGTGATTGAAGCAATTAAAAGGGAGCCCGGCATCATACATCCAAATTGCAAAAACACTTTTCGCACGCTCTCTTAGAATTTTCTTTGTTTCTTCGATTCCTCCTTTTTTTTCTAAGCCTTCTTTTTATGTTGATTTTTGTGAAAAATAGAGGTTCAAAGGTCCGTTCGTCACACTCCGTGCGGTGGATGAACCTCCACTAGAAGATATCTTTTTAGTTTTTTAGGTATGCCTCATTTCCGCATAATCATCCATTTCATCAAGATCATCAATATCAACAAAGTCTTCCAGCTGCCTCACTTGAAATTTGGGATTATTAGCTATTTTGTTTTGCATATAAGCCCTTACTTCTTCTCTAATTTTCAACGGACAAGCGACACATTGTTTAACATTCTTGAAACCACCCACTAAATGTTGTTTGTGTCGAGTTATTCCACCATTGAAAGTACTCCCAAAAAAGTTACAATTAACCGAATCTTTCGTCACTCCTTGAGTGCCATAATTTCATCCAATGTCCCTCTTTTTGCTAGCATCCGCCATTGATTATTAAATTCAATTAATTCGTTGTTTAGAAATATTGGAATAAATAATTAGGAAAAGAGAGATTTTTTTAATTAACTGCCTATAATTTTTACAAAAAATGTTTACACAAAGCAGTAAGCAATTAAGAACTGCTTAGTGCTTACAACCTTACTGCCTTACACCAAAAAACCACTAACTGAAAAAAAAATGAAGAAGAAGAACAGAAAAAAAATTATTGAAGAAGAAGAGTGAAAACGATACCTGAAAATAGAGAGTCGCGAGGGTCAGAGGGAACTCGTGAGCCGGCGTCCGGCGAGGGAGAAGGAGAACAGAATCGATAGCAAGGGAAAACTTAAGAGAAGGAGAAGCTGACAGCGAGGGAGAAGAGACAGCGATGGAGAGCAAGTGAGAAGAGACAGTGATGGAGGAGAAGAGAAGAGAGTCAATCGAGAGAGAGAGAGTCACGATGGATTTCAGAAATTTCATAAGTAAAAAAAAACCCTAATTTTGACTAATATTATTAAGTCAAATATTTTTAATTAAAAAGGCGGCGCCTTTTCTGTCGCCATTGCAGCGCCACACCTCGCCACACCTCGCCTTTTTACCATCGCCTCTCACCAAAGCCGAGGAGGCGCTCGCCTTTTCTAACCCTGGTTAGGGTGGTCCCCTCCTTTGGTGCTTCTTCACATGTCTTGCACATGTGCTTGCACATGGGTTAGTTGTACTTTCCTAACTAACTATTATATATGATTCCTTTAGGAATGTTTACTTATTGTCCCAAGGATCCTCGCTATGTCCTTGTGCACTGCTTACTCTACATGATAATTTTAATTGATCATGTGACATGGTAACTAGACTTGACACTTGGATGCCTCATACCTTTTTGTGAGTTAAAGGAAAAAGCATTTTAGTTTAGGGTCTTCTTTGCAGGTACATTTCTAAACAAGCTTGGACTATTTTTTGCTTATTTGGTATATATACAAATTGGCTAACACTCCTTAGCCATTTTTCTATACTATGCCCAATATTTCTCAATATTGGTCATTGGAATGCTTATGTATCCCCAATACATATTCTTACGGACTTTGTATCTCTTCACTAGACATTTAATTTTCCGGATTGTTACAGTTATAACTTTAGATTCCATGCTTTGCTACCATGGTCTATGTCGGTTATTGACTATTCTCATTCTATGGGATACCTACTTGCATTAAAGAAGTTCTTTGAAGTTTAGGTGGTGGTATGGTACACTATCTAGACATTGCACAATACCCTATAAAAGTTTAGTGAGAGTCCTTAGGTCTTCTACAAGACCATTAATTGAATGACCCTTGTGTGATGAATGTATCTTAAATGAACTAATGAATGTAATAACTTAAGTTAAGAAAACATGTTAAATGAATGAGTACTTATCTGGAATAGTTAAGGGTTGTCTAGTTAAGGTGTGAAGGTGGAGTAGGAATGGTCACTTTGTATCTTACCTAGATAAGTTTTAAGAACGACTCTAGTTAGGAAAGTTGGTTGATTATGTTGACATCATCAAAACTTAGGTAGTCTTAAGGATTACTTAGGTAATCTTGGAGAGGTCAATCATGGACATTCTCTTCTTGATTCACTTGATAAGTCTTTTGATACCTTTGGAAGGGAGAGTGTCATATTATATGTATGTTGATGTATTAAGTGACAATTATCTTATCTTAGGTAATCAATAGGGTCTCTTGAGTGTATGTGAAAGGGATTGTATGGGCATTAACTTCACAATTCTCTCTCTTGAGTGTATGTGAAAGGGATTGTATGGGCATTCACTTCACAACTCACTCAAGTGAGCCTTAGAGTCACCTTTGATATAAGGATCTCGTGTTCATGTGTTTGATGTACTGTAAGTGTGTGTATCTCATTGTGGGCGGTATTAAGGATCAATTAGGTGTGCCTAGAGTGGGTGTATGTGTGGTATATATTTTATCTTACTTAAGTGAGTCTTAGTATAGATTTTTTTGAGAATATTACATGCTAGAAAGTTTTCTATGTGAAGTTGGTAGGCTTCACTGTAACAGTGAAGGAGTTCACTGTAAAGTTGTTTATTAAAATGTGATAAATTGTTTATGTGATCTCTTATTTATTTATAAGGTTTTTAATGTTGTTTTTATTCTTATATTATTATATTTAAATCAAAAAGTCATATTTCCTATAAATGTCCATTTTCATGATTTTATGCATTATGTCGTACTTAGTAGAAACATTTCGAAAATATAAGACATGTTCTAGAGCCTAACATAAGTTTCAAAAGGTTTAGATACTATTTTAATGTAAAGTTTAAAGAATATAGGTAAGTTAGAAATTTAGAAGTCAAAACGTCCATGACGTACGAAAACTAGTTCAATGAGGTACTAGCGTACCTTAGCCTATTTGACTAGCTTTTAGGAGTCGGAAAATGATGAAAATTAGTGGAAGGGTGTATAACATGTATTAGAGTTTTTTCATAGTCGAAACGTCCAGGATTGACTCCCCAAGGACCAATCAAGGGCCCTTGAGGAGGACCGTTGCAAAAGTAACTAAAAGTTGTCAATAGATAGTGTCACCAACGACTGCCTCCGTCGATGGACACTTAGAACTTTTGTCGAAGGGCCTGTTTTGAATAGTCTCGGAACTAATAAATGAGAGTGCATCACAGAGGGAAAAGTGCCTGTCGATGGACACATGATCTGTCGATCGTGGTGTCATCTGTGAGGGGTCTGTTTTGCTGCACGTTTTTATTTAAGTCAATTAATTAGTTGGATTAGTTAGGAGGTTAATTAGGGGTTAGGGGAGTAATAATTAAGTAAATTAAAAACCTACATAATGGACCTAACCTTGTTAGACTAACCTAAGCTCTCATAATTCACAAACCCAAACTCTCTTCCTTCGCTCTTCTTTATCTCTCTAGTTGAAGAACTCCTTTGAAGACCAAGCTAGGGGTGGGTTTAAGTGATGCAAAGGTTCGAATTTCTCCATCAATATTCACCAATTATTAAGGTATGGGATTCCTTTCACCTTTGAGATCTCTTTCCTCAAAAGACTTTATCAAATTGATTTCAAAACATGAAATTCAAGTGGGTCTTTTCCAATCTCGAAATTAATGTTATGAATTACTTTGTTTATGATTTACTTTTGATATTATGAATAGATTAACATCTATTTTAAATAAATTATGTTATTTCTTGATGGATTGGTGTAGTTTGTAGAAGATCACCTATTCCCCTTAACTCTAGTTTATGATCTTGTTATGAATTGTGTAATGTTGGTTCAATTGACTTGGTTATTGGTTGAATTACTACTAGATGATGATATGGTATAAATTATGAATAGATTGAGATGAATTATTGTCCTATCATGATAGTTCTTGAGCAATTGATCTAGATTATGATCTTGACCTAAGTCTCTTATCCTAAGTTATGAACTAGTAATGGATTGTGATGTACTACTTGAATTAGTATTGTTAATATTTTTGTTATTGGTGTGTGATGATATTACACCCATATTGGGTTGAATTAACGGTTCATGGTAAGATCTTGACGATGGATTATGACAGAGACTTGGTAAGTCTTGTGATCCCTATTCTTTACTTCAATTATGGTTAATTGTGGTTAAGTGATGATGTAATATTGAAGTATATCTTATGTTAAGACTGGTACGATGTTGAATTGAAATTTCTTGACTATGGTTTCTGAGTTATTGGCTAAGATGTAAATGTTATAAGGATGGTGATGATTTACCAATGTGCCTTAATATAATGTGACTATATAAATGTGCAAACCTCACATTTATGAATTGTAACGAAAGAATTATACTCAAGAAATTCTTATTGAGTTATGATGATGATGATTATACAAGGG